TTTCAAATGTATGTTTGCCCTTTTGACTGAATTTCTTTTCAGAAGTATCCGCTCTCTTTTTCGCTGGTGGACCTTTGGGATGGTCGTATGATAAGCAGTATTTATGATTCCATCAGCTCAGGTTCAAAGGTCCGTTGAATATATCATTGTATTCTTCCATTAGCATTTATTTTCGGGTATTCGAAATTCTGTTGCAAATCCAACTGAATGGGGTTTCTCATTAACGAAAATTATAGCTAGTGGGCATGGCGCAATGGAAAATAACATGTTGTCGTACGCAGGGTTGATGGTTCTTCTTCAGCAGTGAGATAGTTTATCGTTCTATGATTCGTTCGATCATTCTATGGCAGTTTGGTAGTGGTTTGTGCTAGAAAGTCAAAATTGTTTCGAAGCAACGTGTCGGCACCATTGCTGGCGAGTGATTGCTGTTAGCATGCTACCACTCGGATTGCTTCCTAGTGCCTGCGCCTTTCATCGGAAGCAGAAATTTTGACTCTTAACAGGAGCATTTTTACTTTGGCGCTTCAAGTATTTTTGTAGTGGGTCACGAAAACAACATGCGCTTCTCGTCCTTTTTTTCTGGTTTGAATTTTTGATCCGGCGTCTCCCGCATCGAGACAAATTTATCAAGACTAGTTCACAGCGTTTAAGTTATATTTACAATTTCGTCCCAAAAACGAAAAGGCTAATTCACTTTTACGGCAGAACAGAATTCCTGCCTTTGTATAACATTTTTGCTAGCGGTTTTCTCGTGTCCAGACATGTTTTGAGATACATATTTCGTCTTAACTCACTTCTCTGCCAACTTCGATTAAGCGTCTTTGCGTAAATTACGAAAACACACTGTGGCGACGAGACAGGGATCGTTTTTGTTTGTATTTATATCTCTTTTTCGAGTGCTTTATCTTCAAAAGTTGGGAGACCGAAATTTTGTGTTATATATTACGGATTTTTAAATCGACTTTCAGTGAGTGAACTGGCATGCGAACAGGCTCGCTTCTTTGTATATATTTCCGTTAGACATACGATTCATGAGATTTCTCGGTTTGTTTTTTCCAGATACTGCCGTATCGTATACAAAATGAATTAGCACCATTGCATAAAATTGCATCGCTGGAATTATCCTTGGAAGTGGACACTGAAGATGCCTTGTTCGAGCCGATCACAAGACATCAAGTTACTTTTGAGGAGTGTTCACTTATCCCGTTACGTTGTGCATTGCTGGATCGATATTGTCCGGAATTCCAGGATACAATATCACAACACTGCAATGGAGAGGTAAGGGCAGTTTTGTTATTGCGAAAGAAAAATTAAAAAATTAAGAAAAATTAAGCTTGTTTTTGATAGCCAGATTCTCTGGCTCTGCAGCTTTTGAATTTTTCATTTGCTTTGCTCAGCGTTGCATCGCCTGCTGAACAGCTTGCTGGCTATTATGACTTCCGTTTTATCACCCTGGGGCATTATCAGCCATTTCGTGGGATTTTATGATGTAAGATAGTTATCCCTTTAAGATCCTACCGGGATTAGCAGCTGAGTGCTCTCCCGTTACAAGCATTTTGGCTGGGTATCAAAATGTGTTGGTATGTGCTGAGCACATTTGCGGATCCGGGGGGAGGGGGAGAGGGGGGAGCGAGGTGTAG